CTACAGCCACCTGTATTGTAAGATAAATTGGTCCCCAAATATATTACAGAAACATTGTGGCAATATCAGTAAATTGCCAGCGTGGACTGCCCTGTGGTCACACATTTATTTAGCCAAACAAATGGCCTTGATTCCACCATGTAGCTGATTTCATCAGGTGTAGGATTTCTTAATTGGATTGTTTTATGTGTGTGTCAAGCTGAATAAATTATTTATGAATTTTGGATCTTAATCCCTTATCCAACATAACATTTGCAAATATCTTCCCCTACTTGGTAGGTCGCCTTTTCATTTTGTTGATCATTTTCATTGTGTTGCAAAAGTTTTTTTTTTTTTTTTTTGGTGTACTCCCACAGTTTATTTTTGCTTTTGTTTCCTTTACCTGAGGAGGCATATCTAGGAAAATGTTGTTATGGCCAATGTCCAAGAAATTACTGTGCAGGTTTCCTTCTAGTTTTACAGTTTCTAGTCTAACATTTAGGTCCTTAATCCTTTTTGAATTTATTTTTGTGCATGGTGCAAGAAAGTTCCAGTTTCATTCTTTTGCCTGTAGCTGTCTAGTTTTTCTGGAACGATTTGTTAAAGAGCCTGTGTTTCTCCCATTGTGTATTCCTCCCTCCTTAGTTGTAGATTAATCACGTAAGTGTGGGTTATTCTCTGGGCTTTGTGTTCTGTTCCACTGATCTTTGTGTCTATTTTTGTGACCGTGTCATACAGTTTAACTTATTGTAGCTTTTCAGTATACCTCTTTTTATTTATTATTATTATTTTTTTGGTCATATATCTTGAAATCAGGGATTGTGAGACCTTCTGCATTGTTTTTCTTCAGGATTACTTTGGCTATTCAGCGTCTTTTGTGGTTTCATACAAATTTCAGGATTATGTGTTCTAGTTCTGTGAAAAATGCTGTTGGTATTTAATAGTAATTACACTGAATTTCTAGATTGCTTTGGATAGGATGGACATTTGACACTACTATTCCTATCGATGAGCATAGGAATGCCTTTCATGTGTGTGACGTCTTCAATTTCTTTCATTGTTGTTTCCTAGTTTGCAGATTATAGGTCTTTCCCTTCCATGGTTAATATTTTCCTTCGTGTTTTAATCTTTTTGGTGCAATTGCAAATGGGGTTCTTGATTCGTTTTTCTGATAGCTCATTATTAGTGTACAGAAATGCAACCAATTTGTCCATTTTTTGTGCTGTGACTTTACTTCCAATACTATGTTCAATAAAGGTGGCAAGACTGAGTATCCTTGTCTTGCTCCTGATAGTGGAGGAAAAGCTTTCATCTTTTCATTATTTAGTATGATGTTAGTTGTAGGCTCATCATAAATGGCCTTTATTATGTTGAGGTATATTACTTTCATACCCACTTGTTGAGAGTTTGTATCACAAATGAATGTTGAACTTTCAAATGCTTTTTCTGCATCTGTGGAGATGATCATAGAACTTTTATCCTTTTTGTTGTGTGGAGTATCTTGTTGATTGATTTGCAGATGTTGAACTATCCTTAATCCTTGAGATAAATCCTGCTTGATCATGGTGTATGACTCTTCTAATGTATTGTTAAATTAATTAATTAATTAATTATTTTTGTATTGTTAAATTTAGAAATAATTTGTTGAGGATTTCTGCATCTGTGTTTATCAGGAATATTATAGTTTTCTGTTTTGTGGTGTCTTTGACTTCCTTTGGTGTCAGGATAATGCTGGCCTTGTAAAATGAGTTTGGAAGCATTTCTTCCTATTCATTTTTTAAAAAATATTTCTGGAAGGATAGGTACTAACATTTACTTTAAATATTCTGTGGAATTCACCTATGAAGCTGTCTGATCCTGAAATGTTACTTGTTAGTTTTAAAAGTAGTGATTTAATTTCATTTCTTATACAGGTCTATTCAGGTTTTCTAATTTTTTTTTTTTGTGATAGATTTTTAGAAGGTTGTGTGTTTGTAGAAATTAACTATTTTTTTTTACTAGATTTTCCAATTTGTTAGCTTAAGTAGTAACTAACCTCTCATGATCCTTTGTATCAATAGTAAGTACTTTTTTTTTTAAATTTATTTGGGCCCTTTCTTTTTTCTCAAGGAGTCTGAATAGAAGTTTATCGATTTTGTTGGTCTTCTCAATGAACAAGCTTTTAGTGTCATTGATGTTTCTTTTTTTTTTTAATTTTTATTTATTATTTATGATAGTCACAGAGAGAGAGAGAGAGAGAGAGGCAGAGACACAGGCAGAGGGAGAAGCAGGCTCCATGCACCAGGAGCCTGACGTGGGATTCGATCCGGGGTCTCCAGGATCGCGCCCTGGGCCAAAGGCAGGCGCCAAACCGCTGCGCCACCCAGGGATCCCCTGATGTTTCTATTTAAAAAAAATATTTTTTTGTTTCTACTCTGATCTTTATGATTTCCTTCCTTTTACTGTCAGTTTTACCCTTCTTTTCCTAGTTCCTTAAGATATAAAGTTAGATAATTTGATATTTTTCTTGATTTTTGAGGTAGGTAGATCTGTATCACTTTGAACCTAGAATTGCTTTTACTGCCTTACATAGATTTTGGTAAGTTATGCTTCCATTTTCATTGGTCTCAAGTATTTTTTTATTTCCTTTTTTTTTTAAGATTTTATTTATTCATGAGAGACAGAGAGGCAAAGACATAGGTAGAGGGAGAAGCAGACTCCTCATGGGGAGCCTGATGTGGGACTTGGACCCAGGACTCCAGGATCACACCCTGAGCTGAAGGCAGATGCTCAACCACTGAACCACCCAGGCGCCCCATTGATTTCCTCTTTGATTTCTCCACTGACACGTTAGTTGTGCAGTTATTGTTTAGTCTCCACGTATTGGTGTGTTTTTATTTTCATTTTTAACTTGTAATTAATTTCTAGTTTCGTGATGTTGTGGTCAGAGAAGATGCTGGATAGGGTTTCAGTCTTCTTGAAAGTATTGAGGCTTGTTTTGTGGCCTACTATGAATCTATTCTGGAGAGTGTTCCATGTGCACCTGAAAACTATATCTACTTGGAAGTTTGGGATGAAACAAATATTCTCTATATCTCTATTAATTCCATCTGGTCCAATGAGTCATTTAAGGCCGATGTTTTCTTACTGATTTTCTGTCTGGGTGATGTATCCATTGATGTAAGTGGGGTGTATTAAAGTCCCCTACTGTTACTGTACTACTGTCCACTTTCCATTTATGTCTGTTAAAATTCGCTTTACATATTTAGGTGCTAGTGCTACTTTAGGGATTGAGATGATTCTTTTTTTTTTTAATATGTCATTTATGGCAAATGCAGTTCCTACCTGGTTTGTGTATGGTTTGGCCTTGTGTATTCCATCTGATAGTAGAGTGCTTCCTTTTTTTTTTTTTCTTTCTGCCCTTTTTCTGGAGTTGGAGTTTTAAGTAACGTAATCAAAAAAAAAAAAAAAGTGGGGGGTCATGGAAATGTGATCCATGAAGAATTCTCAGAAAACTTTGCCCTGTTGCTTTCTTCTAGCTGGAATTTGATGGACCTACTTTAATATATTTTAGTTAACCAGACTGGTTTGTTCTCTTAGTTTGAACATCATCATAACCAGGCAAGGGTGCACATTCCATCTGTGTAGGACCTGTTTGCATATCCTCCTGGGCTGTAGGTGCCCCACTTTTTTTTTTTTTATAAATCTATATGCTAATTGTAAGAAACACACAGTACTTCCACACTTGACACATATAGTGGATATCCTATTATTTAGTTGGTGGAGGTAGAGTAGTAAGTTCAGAAGAAAATACCATTTAAATAGTGTGAATATGCCTTATCCATTTGGAAGACAGAAAATGAATGGAAGGAGAAACAATATAGTAAGCAAGGCAGTCAGATGATGAGGAATTTTCAACTGCTCTTTTTGTAATGTCTTAATTACATTCTCTGAGGCAGGGATATGTTCCTGGGTACACATGCAAAGACATTGCTTGAGTTTTTCTCCTGCTGTTCCCATAAACAAAGTGTCTTTGCTCAGAAAGGACTGTAATTCAAGACTGAGACTGTGTTACTCCAACTGCCTTCAGGCACTAGAATGCTTGATGTTGTGATGAAAAAAAAAATCAGGTAACTAACAGGATTCTTAAGGTTTGTTGAAATCATTGCTTATTGTTTAAGACAGTAAGACTTCTTAGGTTTTTGGACAGTCACTTAGATTTCAATTCCTGAAAAGTCGGGGGTCTGGACATAGAGTACACCGAAAGAGAAATTTTGACTTCTAAGCATGGACTTCATTGTGATGTGGATGATTTTTCTTAGTGTTCATTTACTGCCAGTTTATGCTTTAGGGATTCAGTGGCTTTATCACCATCGTCCTATTTTATGTGTTTCAGATAACATTTTTTTTTAACAATTCTGCACTCTACTCATAAACACTGAGTGTATGGATTAAACCTACTTAAGTGATTATGTAGGTTTCCCTTAGTTGGAATTTGTCTCATTTAGCATGTGACTTAATAGGAGTTAACTGATTGCCTTTGCCTTCAGATTGGGCTCAATTCTTTTTCAAATTTTGCTACCCTTGGGCATGCTTCTTGAAGGAAGAACAAGTTGAGATCTTGTGACATCTCTTTTTTAGAACGCCCAAGAAAAGGGGATTACAAGCTCCCAAAGCCAGAAAAGCCCTGCCCCAGGTCCTTCCCACCAGAGGAAGTTGCTGCAGTTCACGCTATCTTCAGGAACCGCAGTGCAGGTCCCATGTCTGCAAGCGACCTCAACTATTACTAAAGACAGACCTTTGGGAGGATTCCAGGGGACCAGTTTGACAGACACTGACTTACTTGAAATCGCTTTAAACTTAAAAATGAAAAACTGCACTAAAGAGGTTTAGAAAATAAGTGAATTTGTGGGCAGGTTGCACAACGTGTTGTCAGTAATCACCAAGGAAGGACTTTGCACAAAGCCCCTCTGGCTCCCTTTTCTCAGCTCCTGTGTTTTGCAGCTCCTCCAGCAGGTGTCACTATAATCACAGAACAAACATTCCACAGCATGGTATGTAACTTTATTTTTCTAGCATAATAATTTAAAGTATTTACACACTGCACACTCACTGTTTTACACAGATACTTATTCATATACCTATGAACCACATCTAAAGGTTTCTTTGCAAAGACTCGACACACTGGGAATTTCCAAGCATAACAAAGAGAAGGAAAGGACAAAAAAAAAATAGGCTTGGAGTCTTTTAAAAGACAGCCATGTGGCGCATCTGTGAAAACCAGTGTTTCCCCCCCAGTCTTAAGCTCCCCCAGGAGACCTCTGAATAGCTACAGCGTATCCAGATGTTGGTAGAACCTGAAACTTTGGTCTAAGGAGAATTTCAAGAACCCAAATGCACAAGTAGTATTTTCTCTAGAAGTGCTAGGACAAAAACAAGAATAACTTGGTCTTCCACTAGAGAATCATCTGTATGTCTCAGTTACCTGTGGGGATGGGAAAGGTCGTACAGGGACTCGGATTGTAAAGGCACAAGAGCCAAATACACTGGTAAGAACGCGAGTGACACAGAATGCCTGGCAGGGGCCTCGCCAGCTCTCCGATAGGGCACCGTGGCCTGAGTTAAGGGTCTGTCCTTCCCCAACTGTTAGTAGAGGTGGTGGTTTTGCTTTCCCTGAAAAGGACAAAGGTTATATCGACCATCTGCGCCCTAAGGCCAGATACTGTAGGAGTTTCTACCGCTTTTACTTCACTTTCATTATACTGTTTGCACAAGAATAGTGGTTATAAGTACTCTATTTTCCCTTTGTTCTACTCTGTTACATAACAAAGTTACTAGCTAACTCTAGCTTCTGAACCTGGCCCCCGGTTCCCCAGGTGAACAAACACAGCCCCAGTTCAGCGCTGATGGCAGGTAGGCCCCCAGTCCAGTTTTTATAAAAGGTTAACTGGTTTAGGTTTCAATTCTCTGGCGCTGCATCTCTATCACGTCAGAAGCCGGATGCCTTTGTGGTTTTCCCAGACTGGCCAAGGCGACTCTGTCCTAGATCACAGAAAGAGAGGACGGTCGCCACCTCTAGATGAACCCACAGCTCCATCCTGCGGTTGGATGACCCATCAGTTCACGACGAAATAGAATTTTCCGCAAAGCGAAATCCTCTTTTCCTGCCAGTCGGGGGCCTCTGGCAGTGACCCTCACCGACGGGCCGTGGCGAAAGGCGGGAATGCCAGGCCTGGCCCGCTACAGCTCCGCGCGCTGGCGCGCTCTGGATGCACACTGCTGTGGTCGCTCAAGTTCATTTTTTTTTTTTTTTTTTTTTGCACTGAGCTAAGTTAAAAATTGCGTCCTTGCTCCTTGGGACCAAACACTTACATAGACAAACGAGAGATTTACCTTCCCTAGCACTCCCTTCCTCGCCGCTCTTGCACTTGGGGCGTGGGGCTTTCCTTTAGCACCGGGGCCGCCAACGGGGTTAAGGGAGGCGGCAAGGAGGTACCTGATGGGAGTTTAACCAGGTTCTACGAGCAGGTGCCTAAGGAGCCTCTCTTAGCAGCCCGAGGAGCCGATGACAGAGACAGACACGCGGCCTGGGGCGCCACCAGGCCTGGATTAGCTAGCCCCCCCCCCACCCGTCAGTCGCATCAGGGAGGCCCTGCTCTGGGGCGGCCCGGGCCTTGCCAGGAGGCAAGCGTCCAACACAGCCTGGCTCCGGGCTTGGGGGGGGCGGGGAGGCCGAGGAGGGCCCTCCGGGGGTGAGCCCGGGTGCAGCGCGGTTCCCAGGGCACCCAGCCCGGCCCGAGGCCCCGGCTTGCACCCAGGCGAGGGCAGAAAGGGGTGACAGTGGGACCGGGGACCTGGATGAGCAAAAGTCTGAGCGCTCGGGGGGGGGGGGGGTGTCTAGCACAGCGCCTGGTACCTCTCCATGAACTTGTCCCCTCTCGCCCCTTCGGGCCTATGGAAACAGCAGTTTTGTGTGGCTCAACCTCCCGTGTGGGACGTGCTCAGTGGAACGATCCGTAGGGCCGCAGGCGGCTTCTCCCTGCCCCTCGCAGAGTGACGGCCTCAAGGGGAGCGGGGGGGGGGGGGCAGGCCGGGGTGAGGCCACCTGCTGCAGGAGGGGGTGGGGACAGCGCCCGCCCCCGGTCCTCCCCAAGGGCACGTGGGGGGGGGGTCTGCGTATAGGTACTGTACGTACTAACCAGGTACACACATAAATATTTAATATATAAAAAATAAAGTGCTTTCTAACAGGTCCCCAGGGAGGGACATTATAAAATATTTCACAAAACTGCAAAACAAAAATCAGTACAATCGCGGCCCGCTGCCTCCCCCGCCCCCGCCGCCGGCCCCTCCGGACGCCCCCGCGCCGGCGGCTGCACGCTATATACATATATACTCTTTTACTCAATATATTATGACAATATATATTTTAAAATTCTGTTATAGACCAAAAAAAAAAAAAAAACAAAAAAAACCACCCCAGCCCCGCGCCGCCGCGCCGCCGCCTAGAGCAGCCGCAGCAGCAGCAGGCCCGCCAGCCCGGCGCCCAGGGCCCGCGCCCCGCCCGCGCCCCCGCCCGCGCCCGCGCCCGCGGGGCCGCCGCCGCCCGGGAACAGGTGCCAGCGCTCCCGCCGCGGGTGCAGCGCCGCCACGTCCTCCAGGGCGCTGCGCGCGGCCGCCGAGAAGTTGGCGTCGCCCGTGGTGAGCAGGTCGAAGACGCACGACTGGAAGTAGAGGTCCTGCAGCGGCACCCGCTCCCGGCAGCGCGCGTGCGCCGCCTCCAGCGAGAAGCCGGGCCCGGGCGGCGGCGCGGGGCGGCCCAGGATGGCCGACACCCGGCCGCGGCCGTCGTCGATGCGCTCGGCCAGCGGGCAGCCGTGCACGCACAGCTGCAGGTCCTGGCTCTCCTCGTAGGCCATGGCCAGCGCCTCGGGCATGCGCAGCGCCAGCGTCAGGTAGCGGCCCAGCTGGCGCACGAACACGGTGGTGCCGATGTAGCGCGCGTGCATCTCCACGGCGCGGCCGCTCTCGCGCTCCCGCACCACCAGGCTCTTGGCGTCGCCGTCGCCGCCGCTCGTGCTGCCGTCCACGAAGGCCGCCGGCAGGTCGTCGCTCACCGCCTGGTACACCTTCTGCTCCGTGCACGCGCCGTGGGCCTTGAAGATGACGGTCACCTGCGGGGGAGCACAGCGCCGTCAGCCGCGGGGCCCAGGGGACCTCCCCTCGGGGCCGGGGGTGGGGAAGGGGGGCCCAGCCCTGCGAGGTCCAGGCGAGCTTCTCGGGGTCCAGGTGAGCAGCCCTGCAGGGCCCCGGGGACCTCCCCTTGAGGCCGGGGATGGGGGGGCGCCCAGCCCAGCGAGGTCCAGGTGCGCTTCCCCACGGGGTGCGGGGGGGGGCAGTCCTGGGGGATCCAGGTGAGCTTCCCCTGGGGCGGGGTGGGGGGACAGCCCTGCAGGGCCCAGGGGACCTCCTCGAGGCCGGGGATGGGGGGGCCCAGCCCGGCGCGGTCCAGGTGCGCTTCCCCTTGGGGTGCGGGGGGGGGGGCAGTCCTGCAGGTGAGCTGGCAGCCCTGCAGGTCCAGGGGACCTCCCCCTGGGCCGGGATCTCCCCCGGCACGCACAGACCTCAGGCGCCCCCGACCCGCAGCCCCACCCGGACCTCGCCGTGGCGGCAGCAGCTGCACCGCGTCTCCCGGGGCCACCGACCTGCCCCCGCCGAGCCCCCCTCCGCGCCCCCGGCAGGTCCCGGCTGCCGGGCTAACCTGGAGGCGGCGCGGAGCCCACTTGGCAAACTCGGCTCCCAGGCCCTGGCAGGACCTCCCTGCCCTCAGCCTAGTTACAGCGACTGTTTTCCCCAAACAGCAGAACGGCCCTTGAACTTCTTAGAAATTTTTCTCTGGAGCCACCTCGGATTCCCCAACTGCAGCAGGAACCCCCCCGCCAGGGCGCCTCCCTGGCCAGCCCCACATCCTCGGGCTCCCAGGGGACACAGGCCTCTGGGTCACCGAAGCTGGGTGCAGTGGCCCCGAGAAAAGGCCACAATGTTTTGAGATTTGGGTTATGGTCAGGAACTGAAGTGATGGCTTTTTAAATTTCTTTTTCTTAAAAAAAAAAAATAGATCTCTCTCTCCGTCTATCAAAGCGAAGGCAGGCGGGCCACCCGCCCCAGCTCCCCGGCTGGAGGCGGCCCTCCCTCCCGCTAGGGAGCTAATCCAAACAATAGACCCTTGTTGCAAAGGCCAGAAAGAGCCCGGCCGCCCCCTCCGCACCCCTCTCCACAAGTCCTCACCACCACCCTCGGCCCGGGCAGCATTTACTCACACTATTTAATTCCACATGTTCCCACTGGTGTTACTTGACTGGAATTTTCCAGCCATTTCATTTTACTTCAGCCCGTTATAAAGCTAGATCTGAACCAGCTGCACTCTAGCAACTGGTTAAATTCATATCCGTTGTTTGCAGCTGCAACGAGAAGCCAGACAATGTACTATGAAAATGCTTGGTTTTCTCCCCTCCTAATTGCCCTGACCCACCACTTAATTTCACTACCAGCCTTCTCACATTTCAACACCTTCTTAACAACCCAAAGGAGGTGTACCAGAGATGACGGCAGGAAATGTGTTGTGCATCCACCCATAGGACGACCTTCCAGAGCGAATGGGATTGTGAGCTCGGTATCTAATGGGACTATAAAGCAGATTTATTTGGTGGCTCTAAAGACACTTTGACAAGGGCTTTTTGCAAGGCCAGCTAGGATCCCTCGGATGCGAAGAGATTACCTCAAGTGACTTGTGCACCTGAGAGAGCTGAGAGCCACTGGCAGATGGCTCCAATGAGGGCGAGGGAGACTTGTCACATGATCACTGTCCTCATTTTCAACTGGAGTGGTCACACTTTTCAAAAGACTCGCTTTCTGGTCAAACCAACCTCAAATTTAAACTAAATTAACATTATTTGCAAGAATTAAGTGTTTTGTTCATCTTAGGAAACACAAAGAGGAATTAGTTTTTGCTGAGACAACAAAACAGATCCAATTCCACACAAGTTGCCAAATGGACACATGCAGGGGTGGGTGGTAAGATGAGCGCATCAGTTCCACGAGCCTTACCAAGCCTAGCATTTTCATTAAGCACACTGATTCCAACTCAGGGGTCCTTTCCAACACCTCTCCTGCATTCCAGTCCCCTGCTATGCCCATGCCACTACCAGTAACCCCCAGACCTCTGGGAGATCAAAGAACGCGCAAACCTTGACTTCCGTCCTAGGATGCACGCGACCAAAGAGCCCAGTTTACCTAAAAGATTTCTGTCCAATTTTCTAAGAGTAACTTTTTCCATGAGACAGTGAGGCTGGATTTCCCTCATTCTCACACAGAGCAGAGGCACAGAATTAGCTCTTGAATCAAAATACTGAGGGGGGTGATGACTCGCTCTCCAACCGAGAGAGGGGTTTCCTGAGTGGCCCTCTGAGCCTAAGTAAGAGTGAAGACACACCTAGAGATATATGCGAGGTGTCCATGTACAAAACACCAGGTAGCAGTTGTACACGACTTTTGCTTTGTAATGTTAAAATTTCATTCCTCCTACAATCACAACTCAAGATCTTAAAAAAGGCACTCAGCTGGGTAGGGCCAGAAATTTGTTTTCAGGAAAACAAAATTAGTTCATTCTTATTAATCAAAAAAAAAAAAATCAAAACCTAGAATTTTTGGCAATTTTAAATGTTTCTTCTATTTATGCTCTGATCTGTATTCCAGTGGTCTCAAACAGATACTTTAAAAAAACACCAGCCATGCTGCTTACTTTCCCCTTCCGTGAACTGATCCATATGCTGTAATAACTCAATGTGGCACATCTATTCTACGCCACACCATTTATTATTGATGGATGGCATTTCTGTGCATTTAAAACATCAATGCCTTTTGTTAAACCTTTCCCACCCAGTCCCTCTCAACCCCTACCTCAGACAAACTACTCTAGTTCTCCTCATCCATTTTTAATGTTTCACTCCCTGAGATCTTTACCACCCACAAGGTCTATTAGGAAGACAGAGACAGCTACAAATCAACCTTTCCACGTGTGATATGAGGATTTGAAGGTTTGCTGTGAAAAATCAAAGTTTAGACACACCTGCCTCTCCTTTCCACCATAAAAAGAAAATGCATGCAAAGAAATCGAGGTAGCCAACAAAGGAAAACCCACGTACTGCTTTGCCAAGAGGTAGCTTCCCTAGGCTCGACAGCCTTGTAAAGTGCTGTGCATAGGTTTTTTGAACAGAAGTCCCTGAAGGCTGTACACTTAACTACTTATGCTTCTTGTGATTTGGAAGAAACAAGTACGGGTGTTTTGTCAGGCTATTTGGCACTGCACGTGCAGCACCTTACCAGAATCCTCAGATTCCAGACCAGGACTCTCAGATCTACGGGACTCCCATCTCTTGGATTAAAATGGGCCAACTAAGCTGAAACAGCCACAGAGATTACGTTGGAACAGAGAGAAACACAATTTTGACAAGTACCTGGTTAAAATGCTGCTGTGTTAAAGGAAGCTAAAATGAATTATCTTTCATGTAATCAGCAGATCTGTCTAGTGCATCAGATCCTCTGGGTGCAATTGGTCGAAAAAAATAGGTACTTCTGGGAGGATAAGGGAACACTGCTCACAGCCCCTTTTACACAGGTAAGTGGGATCCAGCCTCTACCTTAAATCCTCGAGTGTGAGCAAAAATAAACCATTCCAATAAGGGTACGTGCTGCAAAGGAAAAACTTCACATGCTCTAGCTCTAGGCCTACAACATCCGGTCTTTACTTCTGACAATTTCCTCTCACAAGATGTCAACGTTTGCCACAGCAATCAGACAAGAAAAAGAAATCATTCCAAATCGGTAGTAAGTACAACTGTCACTATCTACAGACACTGATATGACCTCACCAAAAACCCACTAGAATAAATGAATCCAGGACAGTTACCTGGTACAAAATGGACAGAGATCCGTTGCCTTTTTATACACTAAGAAGATATCAACAAGTAATTAAGAAAACTGTTCCATTTATACCTGCATCAGAATGAATAAAATGCCTAGGAATACATTTAACCGACTCGGTGACCACCCTGTAACTCCAAAAACTATAAAATAACGATGAAAGAAACTTAAGACGGGAATAAAGAGATACACAACTAAATAAGATGTACTATGTTCATGGCTGGGAATAATATTGTGAAGATGTCCATACCCCCCAAAGCAATCGGTGGATTAGATGACATTTCCATCGAAACACCAACAGCATTTTTCACAGAACTACAACACATAATCCTCAAATTTCTATGGAATCACCAAAGACCCTGGAGAGCTAAAGCAACCTTGAGAAAGAAGAACAAAGCTGGCAGCATCACAATCCCTGATTTTAAGCTATAGTACAAAGCTGTTGTGATCAAAAAGGCACAGGATTGGCACCAAAAGAAGACACACAGATGGGACAGAAAGGAATTTAGGCTTATAGGGCCCATTCATCTACGACAAAGGAGAACGAGAACACAGAATGGAGACAAGAGTCTCTCCAGTAAATGGTATTGGGAAAAGCAGACCACTTTTTTACACCATAAATATATAATCAAAATGGATGAAAGGCCTAAATGTGAGATGGGAAACTGTAAAACTCTTAGAAGAAAACCTAGGCAGTCATCTCTGGAACGCTGGCCTCACCAACATTTTTCTCCTTAGGTCTCTTTGGGCAAGGGAAACAGAAGCAAAAATAAACTACTGGGACTACACCAGACTAACCAAGTTTTGCATAGTGAAGGAAACCAAAGCAAAAAGGAAGACAAGTAACAATGAATTTCACTCATGTGTAATTTAAGAAAAATAGATGAATGTGCGGGAAGGGGGGGGGGGAAGAGGAGGATGGGAAGGCAAACTGTAAGGGACTCCTAACAACAAGGCACGGACTGAGGGTCAAACTGAGGACTGAAAGAGGGAGGTGGGCCAGGGGAGAGGCTAGATGGGTGATGGGGATGAAGGAGGCCACTTAGGATGCACCGGGTATTGTATGTAAGTGATGAATCATTGAATTCTACTCCTGAAACCAGTACTGTACTCTAAATTAGCTAATTAGAATTTAAATAAAAATTTGGGAGAAAAACCAATAGGCAAAGGGTCTAAATAGGCATTTTTCCTA